ATGACAGCTCAGAATAAACAAAATAAAAGGAAAACTCCTCAACGAATTATTTACAGTATAGACCTGCAAGAAAGGTCACAACTCTACTGATAGAAAAAGCATGTACTTTGTGTTAGACAAACATGAATCTGATTAACAGTGCTATTTCTAAATGGCCTGGACATTCAAGTAAGTATGGAGCTGACCTATGATAACTACTGAATACATAGGAACTCTGTATTATATGACATGTAAAACAGTCATGCTCATGAGGGTGTCATTTTATTTTTTTAAGAACAGAAAAAAAGCAAAGAAGACGAATATAGGGAACACCTGTTTAGAATGGCTTTGACTGTGAACTACTACATTTTATTTTTCATCACATTCCAAAATCTTTCTCATTCAAGCACCTGTACAATGCTGGAGGAGACATTACAGCCAAAATACTATTAGCCATTTTCCTTTTAAAAATGAAATACATTTGTAAACATCTTTCTTCAATAAAAGTGTTTTTTAATATAAATTAATTATCAAAGAGAATAATCTTGAAACAGAGAATAATAATTCTAAAATCGCCTCCCCCACTCCACAATTATAAAAGTAGCAAATGTTTCATGACAGAAAAAATATTTTTAAACACAGATAAACAAAAAGAAAAAAATTAAAAGCTATGTAGAGATTAGTATAGTTAAACCAGGGAGTGCATAATTCTAGATTTTTTATTGTATATAGTATAAATGATTAATGTGTCTATATCTATATTAATAAAAGTGAGATAATATTATATAAAATGATTTTGCAATCCACTTTTCTAATCAAGAAATAATTAACATATCTTAAACCAATAAATATCTATCTCCATTAATTTAATGACTGACTGACATCACATTATGTGAATATATAATAATTTATTGAGCTAACACATCTATTACTGGCTTTTAACTTATTCTCTACTCCACTATGCAAAAGACAATAAATACTATGTTGAACATACTCACATCTGAATTGTATAATATACCCATGATTATTTCATTAAGTTAGAATGCTAAAAGTGGGATTGGATTGCAGGGTCAAAGGTAAGCAAATTTTATGGGTTTTTTGAGGTATATTGAAAAACTGACCACCAAGAAGGATATACCAATTTACACACCTTCCAGCAATGTATCAGAATACCGATTTTTGGAAATGTTTCTCATAAATATTGAACATCATCATTTTCTTATTTACTTTTGGCAAGTTTATAGGCAAAAATATCCTACAACATTAATACGTTTGTCTTATTACCAGAGTTGCATATTTTGTTCATGTTATCTTATATTTTTCTTCTTTTCTGACTGCCTAAAATACAACATTTACAAACTTTCCCAAGTTGTGTGTTATTTTCTTACTAAATTTGAAACAATGTTGTTATATTGTTATATAGTACAGATTTTAACCTTTTGGAATACTTGTTAAGTACTTTTTTTGATATGTTTACATTCTATTTTCTTTATTAATTCTTTTTAGGTATCTTACAAAACAGTTATTTTTATTTTTCATTTACATCCAAGTTAGTTATCATATAGACCACTAACGATTTTAGGAGTAGAATCCAGTGATTCATCCCCTACATGTAACAACCAGTGCTTATCCCAACAAGTGTCCTCCTTAATGCCCCTTGCCCATTTAGATCATCTGCTCCACCCAGAACCCCTCCGGGAACCCTCAGTTTTTCTCTATATTTAAGAGTCTCTTATGTTTCATCTCCCTCCCTGTTTTGTATTATTTTTGTTTCCCTTCCCTTATGTTCATCTGTTTTCTTACAAAACATTCTATGCAGCCAAATTATTAACCTTTTCCTTAATGATTTCACTCTTTGGTGTCATCCTTATTTTATTTTATTTATTTATTGAGAGAGAGAGTATGTACATGCAAGTGGAGGGGGACGGTCAGAGAGAGAGAGAGAGACAGAAAGAGAGAGATGGGGCGGGGGGAGAGAATCCTAAGCAGGCTCCATGCTCAGCACAGAGCCAGACACGAGGCTCCATCTCACAAACTGGAAGATCATGACCTGAGCCGAAATCAAGAGTTGGAAGCATAACAGACTAAGCCCGTAACAGGCCCAGGTGCCCCTGGTGTCACCCTTAGGATGGTGACTCACAGATTACAGAAATATTTGCTAATATTTTAGACAAATAAATACTTGCTAATATTTTTATTGATTCTCCCCTAATTTCTTTCTTTTTAAAAATGTAAACAGGCATTGGATCTAGAATTTATTTTGATAAGTGAAGTTTGGACTTAACATCTTTTTATCCACATTAGCAGACAGTAGTGGCAACAGCCATTGCTGAACGCCACCTTCCCCATATACTAAATTCTTACATGTACTTTGAACTACTTCCAGATTTTATGTTCTCTTTCTTTAATCTATCAGTTTATTCCAATGGGAGAAGGGTATTTAATTGAATTTTCAGTGTATAATGAACATTTCTAGGAAAAGACCACACTCAATTTACTTGTTCATATCTTCTGGCAAATACTGTCCATTTTTGTCTCCAAATAAATTCTAGAATCATTTTGTTAAGATGACCCCCCACCACTAAATTCATATCACTGCAATTAGATTAATTTTGGAAAAATTCTCTGCAATATGAAATATTCCCATCTAAAATACTGCATATATTTGTACATAATAAAGCCTCTCTTAAATTACTCTGTGAAATGTTCTTCACATTGGTCCTACATATAACTTGTTAAGTATATTTACAGGGATCTTGTAATCCAATAATGAAAACATGATTTTTTTTAAATTTGTTTTCTAAGTGGACCATCTAACCAACTAAAGTCTTACTGGTCCTAATTATTTTTTTAATTTATTTGCGGGGAGAGGGGGTTATCCAACCACACAGTAATAATCTATGAACAATGAGAATATGTATTATTTATTTCTTTTTTTTTTAACCTTATTTGATAGAATAAAAGCAGTAGTAAGCCCAATGAGGGGCTGGAACTCATGAACTGTGAGATCATGACCTGAGCTGAAGTCAGTTGCTTAACCAACTGAGCTACCCAGAAGCCCCACCATACTTCTGATATAAATGCAAATAAATGTTTTTAGTGTTCCACTGTTAAATCCATGGTGGCTGCTGAATTTCACATAGGTGCTCCCTATCATGTTACTGAAATATTATATTGGTTGAATTTTACTAAGTATTTTTTGTAATCAGGAGTGCAGGCTGGATGTTGTACAATGCCTTTTTAGAATACACAATTATGATCTTTGTCTCTTTTACCTAGTAATGTGATAAATTATATTCACAGATTTTTAAATATCAAACCATCCTTGCATTTCCAGAATAAGTCCTACATAGCAGTGGGAAATTACTTTCTTCAAACACCGTGGAACTGCTTTGCTAAAATTTGATTCAGTCTATTTTCTTATTCATAATTGTGAGATTGGTTCATCATGTTCTCCTTTGTGCTACTTATGCCTGGCTTCAGTATCAAGATGAAGCTAGATGAAATGACCTAGTTTTCTGTAGGCCAGTGCTCCCACCGAGCAGTATAAAAGGCAGTAAAAAACGGACACACGAGAAGACTATGAAGCAATGAGGACTAAAGGGAATAACGCTGCAAAGAGGTCAGACCTTTTAAAGGTGAGCTGAGGCTCTGCAGCCATCCCTGGAGGCATCTGCCAAACGTAGGCATAGGAACAGACCAAAAATTTGGGTTAGGTGCAGGCAGGGGAGTAACTACTGGGGTGAAAAAAAAAAAATCACTGAATTTTTGTTGTTTCCACGGGGCTGAAGTGCCAAAATTGGAGATTTGAGGGCCAGCTTTCTCCTCAGACATTTTCTGAATTCTAAAGCTACACAGCAGAGGAAAATAATGGTCTAAGGCAAAACTTTTGAAAAGCAAAGTAAGATCTTCCCCCAGTCTTACAGTGTTTCACAGAAAAAGATTCACTAGTGGGAGGATTCATGAGAATTTCAGTTGGGAGCTGAAAAATCTTGAGGGAGTGGTAAATTGACACTGACAATCTCCAACCACTTTTTTCCTGTTGGCAACTGTTGATCTGGGTAATCCTCCTTCTTAAGACATTTGCCAAATTCTAAAATTAAAAAAGGCAAGAGGCTGAAAGAGATAAGGTTCCTCTGAAAAATGGAAATATCCATAGTCCTCTTGGTCCTGAAGAGACAGTGATGTGTCAGGCTCTCATTAAAGGCTCTAAAGAACCACATACTAATAACAGGGGCAAACGAAAGGTATGCTGCGTCTACAATCCAAGCTTGACCCAGATCTGCGCATGAAGGGAGTAGGTGATGAGGCTCAAACCATAACCCATCTGCCCATGCTACCTACTTAGTAAAAAAAGCGATAAACCGACTTTAGTTGGAAATGTCCTCACCTGGAACCTCTACATGTTTTAAATAAATGCAATGTCTAACATCAACCAAAAATTAACAGAAAAAGTCAGGACCATATGACCGAGAACCAAAAAAAGGATCAAAAATAATTCTACCCATATGTAGATAAACAACATATTACCATTAATAAACATAAAAAATAACTTTAAAATTACTAATTAATATGCTAAAGAAAATAGAGAAATGATAGATAAATTAGATTAAAAGATGGAGAATTTCACCAGATATTTAAGGTTATAAAAAAAAAATTAAGTGGATATTCTAGGATTAAAGATACATGCCTGAAATTCTAACTCCTAAGTTTTTCTTCTATTTCTACCATAGCATGCACTATGTGTTTGCACTAATTACTTCAGGTGAAGTTAGGAGGAACAGAAATACACATGATATTAGGGACCATTTTCAACAAAATAAAAAAAACTGCAAAACTCAGTGAGAAAATGATGGAAGAGATCTCTAAATCTCATCAAGGGGCAATAACTATAGTGTGAGTTTTTATATCCTGAAGAGCCTCCTGGCTAGTTAAAACAGAAACAAACATCTTTCACCAAGATAGATTTTAACAAAATTTTCTTCTATATGATGAGCAAAGTAAGAGCAATTGTCACTTACAGGAAGGTGTGTGAATACAGCAAAAGTGCTTCGTAGAAAGGCAATGAGGTCTACTAGGTAATCACTAGCTTTGTTGCCCAAATCTCCAGTCATCCAGTCATAGTCAGCCAGCTGTAGAAACTGGTCAATCTTCTGGTTTAAATTGGTATAAATTTCTTCTTCAGCTGCATGTCTGGCATCCTGTGAAATACGGAATTTTAAAACTCATTCAGACTTCCAGTAATTTCTACTCGGAGACATCTCATACTTATATCCACTAAGTAACGGAATTGGGACTATCAAGACTATCACAGTCTCCATTAATTTTTCCTTTTCAAAAGTATAGTAGAGTCTCTTCATTCTGTGTCTGCAAGACAATCTATTGTTTTGCGTCACCAGATAGAGAATCTGTCTTTACTTCCCTCAACTATCTGTGTCCTTTTTTTATTTTCTTACATTTCTTCAAACCTATACTCACTCTCAGGTCTTATTCCCATTCATCTCTTCTAGGACTCCAAGAACCTCCTTTCCTGTAATACCAACCTCTCTAGATCTCCTAGTCTCCTCACATTGCTTATTATAAGTTTCAGCTTCATGCTATAAAAATTCCCAGTAGCTACTACCCTACCTCTCTGGTGTCTTTGTCATCACGCTCCTTCAAAGATTGGTATACGCCAATGTTTCTTGAAATGTGTTCTAAGGAACGACAGATCTGAAAAATGCTAACACAACAGCAGAAGAGCTCCTAGATCAAATAAGTTTGAGAAACCATGTTTAAGAGACTCATGATGTACACTAGCATATAAAAGGCTCTAAGAAGTATATGGGACTAATGTTCCAAGAAAAATATTTTCAGTACAAAAGGATGTACTTGCATTAGGGCAATCAGGATTCCAATGTTAACAATCCATCAACATGGATTGGTCCACGGTAACCCAAGACCTCCATCCCACAACATGCAATATTCATTTTTCAGTCTGATCTTACTTGCTCTGTCAAACATTCTCTTCTAGAACTCTGTTCTCCTTTGGCTTTCATGAGTGGTTTTCTCCTGGTTTTATTTTTACTTTTCTGGTCTCTAATCCTCTCAATTTCACTGGGTGATTTCATCAATTCCTAGAGCTCACACCAAATCTGTCCCTGTTTTAGAAGGCTATTAATTACTGATTTAATTTCTTCAATAGATATAAGGTTATTCAGATGATCTATTTCTCCTTGTTTGAGTTTTGGTAAACTATGTCTTTCAAAGAATTGATCCATTTCAAGTAGGTTATCAAACTCTGGGTATAGAGTTGTTCATAATATTCCTCTATTATTTTTTTAATGTCCATGGAATCAGTAGTGATAATCCCTCTTTCATTTTTTTTTTAAACTTAAATTCAAGTTAGTTAACATATAGTGTAGTATTGGTTTCAGGAGTAGAATTTACTGATTCATCACTTACATATAACACCCAGTGCTCATTCCAACAAATGCTCTCCTTAAGGCCCATCACCCATTGAGCCCATCCCCCCACTGCCATCCCTCCAGCAATTAACCCTTTTTCATTTATGATATTAACAATTTGAGTGTTCCCTCTTTTGGTCTTGGTTAGCCTGGCTCAAAGTTTATAATTTTATTGATCTTTCTAAGAACCAGCCTTTGGTTTCATTGATTTTTCTCTTTTGATTTTCTACATCAAAACCATTCATTTCTGCTCTAATTTTTATTCTCTTCTTCTGATTACTTTGGATTTAATTTGCTGTTCTTTTTCTAGCTTAAGATAGAAGCTTAGATTATTTATTTTAAGAAATTTCTTATTTTCTAACACATACAATTAATACTATAAATTTCCTTCTAAGCTCTGCTTAAATGGCACAAATTTTGAAAAGGTGTATTTTATTTTCATTTCATTTGAACTACTTTTTAATTTCTCATGAGACTCTTTCTTTGACCCATGTATTATTTTGAAGTTTGCTGGTTAATCTGCAAATATTTGGGGATTTTTAAGCTATCTTTCTATTAACTTATTTCCATAGATGAATTCTATGTGGCCTGAGAGCAAGTTTTGTATGATCTCTGTTCTTTAAAATTTGCTAAGATGTGTTTACCAGCCAGAACATGGTCTGTTTTGGTGAATACTCTTATGAGTTTGAGAAGTATGTGTATTCTACTGCTGTTGGATGAACTATTCTACAATTGTCAATTTAATCCAGTTGATTGACAGTACCATTCTGTTAGACTATATTTGGATATTCTCCTGCTCAAGCTATCAATTTCTGGCCCCTGGATTTGTCAATTGCTGATAGATGGGTTTACTAGGACACGTAAGCAGGAAGAGATAATGACTTACATAAAATACCTTTTCAGTATCTTTTAAATACTTATGTATTTTTTTCTCATCTGATCTATTAAAGAAGTGGATAATTTTAAACAATTTTCTAATACTAATCATTCTTGGATTCTTAATGTTACTTTTATTTCTACTTTCTATGTCCTAGATGATATTTGATAGTCTATTATTTATGATTTTTACATCAAAATTGAAATTCAATTGTTCAGATTATTTTGGGGATTTCTCTGGGTTTTGTTTTTGTTTTTTTAAGATTTTATTTTTTTTAATGTTTTTATTTATTTTTGAGACAGAGAGAGACAGAGCGTGAACAGGGGAGGGGCAGAGAGCGAGGGAGACACAGAATCGGAAGCGGGCTCCAGGCTCTGAGCTATCAGCACAGAGCCGGACGTAGGGCTCAAACTCACGGACTGTGAGATCATGACCTGAGTTGAAGTCAGACACTTAACTGACTGAGCCACCCAGGTGCCCCTCTCTGGTTTTTGAATCATTATTATGGTGACTTTGTGAAAATGAATTGAGATAGTTTCCCTTTTTTCTCTACCAATCTGGAATAGTTTAAATTACACAGAAATTATCTGTTTCATGAAGACCCAAATGAATTCACAGACAAAATCATATGGATCTTGCCCAAATTTAAGAAGTCTTTAATAACTTTTTCACTTCTTTCATAGTTATTACCTTGAATCACTTTTTATTTTATGTTTTCCTATAGATCCCCAAATTTATTAGCACAGTTACACAAAATATTCTAGGTATTTAATTTCCTCTGATTGTGAATTTCAAGTAATTGTGATTTATTTTTTCCTTTCTTTCTTCTTTCTTTTCTCCTTCCCTTCCTTCCTCCCACCCTCCTTTCAATCCATCCATCCTTCTTTTTAATTAGGCAAGGTAAAATGATTATTTTCAAAGTGCAACATATCCTTGCTTGAAGTGTCTCAAAGACCTCAGTAAGATAAAATCCAAATGATGTATCAATACAAAACAAAGTGCTTCACAAGTTGGCATTTAACTACTTCTCTATCTCAGTGCTGCCCTTACTCTACACTGAACATGTCTGATTTTATTTATTCTTTCATCTTTGTACATGAAGTTCCCTGTCCTAAAAATGTCCCTTATTCCCTCCTCATCTTTTGTCCATCTGGTTACCTCCTGCTGGTCCCAAGACCCATTCCATCTTGTGCCCTTTCTGGGAAGTCTTCCTTGAAGGTCTCAAACCTAAGATAAGTATCCTCATCCTATTCTTCTAGACCTGTAACTATTAATTTCCCTTGAAGCCCAATCCTCTCACCTTTTCTCTATCTATATTCAATTCCCAAAAGAAAGCCAGCCCCACAGCATTAAATACCATCTTTATACAGAAGGATTCTGAATTTTTATGCCCAGCTCTGACTTTGCCCTGTCAATTTAGTATCTCTAGGCAGATGACTACTAGATATCTGAAGCTTAATGTGTCAAAAATGGAAGTCTTGATTCTACTGCCTCTCCCCTGGCCTGTTATTCTTCACTGTTCCCCATCTCAGTGAATACGACCACTATTCATACAGTTTGCTTCATTCAAAAATCTTGGAATTATCCGGACTCCACTCTCTCTTATAACCCCATACCTAGTCTAGCAGTAAAACTTGCCATCTCAACCTTTAAAAATATTTCTTACCACTTTCATCCTACCACTATTGTCCAAAAAAACACCATTATCTCTTACTTAGACCACTGCAAGGACTTCCAAATTGAATTTTCTTCTTCCACTCTTCCTAACCTACAACACATTTATTTTCCACATGGCAATGTGGTAAAATGTGGTAACCACATGGTAGTGTTACCCATTAATATATAAGTCAGATTATCACCACCACTCCCACTTTCTAATGGCCTCACGTTTCATTTCAGAATAAAACCCAAGGTATTTACTACAAGGCCAGAAAACATCTAACTCCCGACCATCTCATTTCTTACCACCTCTACCTCTAATGATAGATATATCACTGCCAGACTGAATTCCTTGTTATTCCTTGAACACACCTACTTGAATATCAACTATTGTACTGTTCCCTCTGAGTGCAATATTTATCTATCAGAAATCTAAAGAATTCTATTTCTCATTTCAATCAAGTCATTTATTTTTCTTCTTAGTTCTTGTCATCAACTGAGATCAAATGAGATTTTTGTTTGTTTGTTTATCATTATCATCCCCACCACAATATAAACTCTCTAAAGTCAGGAGACCTGTTGATTATGTTTATACCTGTAAATTGCCTGGTATGTAGTAGATGCTTCATAAAAACTTGTAGAATTGACAAGAGACAATGTATTTATTGTATTATTCTGGTAGTTCTCACATAGTTCTTTACATAAATTACAGTGTCTGTGCTCCCTGTAGATTACAAACTCTAAATCCAAGGATTAAGTATTATTTCTCTTTCTACCCAAGAGCATACCAGATTGTCACACAGTAGGTACACGAACAATATTTGTGGTGGGGTAAATTAATAAATAGCCTCATTCTATTTTGTAAGAGAGTAAGGAAATTCTTATGAACAAGGAAAGCTAAGAATGCCAGCTTAATTATGTCACACATGGCAGGAACAAGGGGCAATTCTGCAGGAAAATACCTTGAAGACCTTCTGATTATTTTTGCCCCTTTTTCAGCATAAAGGTTTCCATCTGCAAGGGAAAGTTTTCTGGAAACAGTAGCTTAGGAAAATACACAACATGTAGCTGCTATAATTGCTGTGTTTATACTGAGTTCTGGGTTAGTTGGTCTGAAACAGTCCTGGTAAAAATAAACTTTCAATGTGTTTTAAGCAATCAGTGTTTCCAATAAGCACTTGTCAACATGACCTTTAGTGGTCTCCAGAACTTCTCCTTTACTAAGTATTTAACTGGCTACTCAACTCCTATGGCTTCCTGTCTGCCCTTAATTTTCCCTCAGCAATTTTAATGCTGGAACAACAACAAACTACACAAGCCATCCTTTGGGAGGATTTCTGACCATAATTTTAAAAGCCCTTGAAATAAGAAAATTGAGGTGGATTAAGGGAAGAATAGCAGTACATTCTACATATTCCCCATATGAGAGACAAGTATAAATGAACCTCACACTCTAACTCCCTAAGTCCCTCTTCTCTGGTGAACATTCAACTACAGTCCCTCCCACATTTTCTTTCCCAAGAAGTCTTGGCTTCCACAGTAAATTAAGTGGAAATATTTTTGATGAAAGTATTGCCCATCCTCCTTAATAATGCTAATATTTAACAGTAATCATAATTTTTATTACACTGTCTAAGGTGATTCTAAAGTTCTTAAAGCTCTTACCATACTCATTTTTGGGTCCTCTTTATCAGATAAATCTTTTCTTCGCTATAAGAGTTTCAACAATAATATAATGAAACATTATTGAAAGTTTGCAAGTAATGATACCAATATAAGACAATGTATAACAGAATTTTTTTTTTGGTAATTTGAAATGAATGACCCATGGTCACATACATACATAAAGAATATTTTGTGAACATCTCTTTTTTTTTTTTTTTTCAGATTTACTGGAGTATAATTGAAAATTTTAAAAAAAAATGTTTTTTGAGAGAGACAGAGACAAGAGTATGAACGGGGTAGGGGCAGAGACAGAGGGAGACACAGAATCTGAAGAAGGCTCTATGCTCTGGCTGTCAGCATCAGCCTGACACAGGGCTTGAATTCGTGAACCATGAGATCATGACCAAAGGTAGATGCTTAACCAACTGAGCCACCCAGGTGCCTCAGAAAATAAAATTATATTTAACATGTTCATTATGATGATATGTGTACATACTGTGAAAGGATTCCCATCATTTAGTTATTAACACATTCATTATCTTAAATATTTATTTATTTATTTTTGGTGAGAACACTTAAGCTATATTCTCTTAGAAAATTTCAATTATACAATACAGTATTATCAACTATAGTTACCGTGTTTTACATTAGATCCTCAAATCTTTTTCATCTTACAGCTAAAAATTTATACCCCTTTACCAATTTCTATTTCCTCTACCTGCCTCCCCATGCCCTGGCAACCACTTTTCTCCTCTCTGTTTCTGTGAGTTTGACTTGTTTGTTTGTTTGTTTTTAAGATTCCACATAAAAGTGATAGCATGCAGCATTTGTCCTTCTCTGTCTGGTTTATTCCATTTAGCATAATGCCCGTAAGGTCTATCCATGTTGGATGGATGGCAGAATTTCCTCATTTTTCTTGGTTGAATAATGTTCTATCAAATATATGTACCACATTTCCTTTACCTATTCATTCATCCAATGATAAACACTTAGGTTGTTTGCATAGCTTGACTGTTGTGAATAATGCTGCAATAAACAAGGAGGTATAAATATCTCTTCAAGATAATCATTTTTATTTCTTTGGATATATACTCAGAAGTGGGACTGCCAAATCACATGGTAGTTCTATTTTTAATTTCTTGAGTAATCTCCTTACTTTTATCCATTACAGATATACTGGTTTACATGCCTGACTACAGCACACAAGGGTTCCCTTTTCTCTACCTCCTTGCAGGCATTTGTTCTCTCTTGTCTTTTTGATGCTAGCTATCTTAACAGGCATGAGGTAGTATCTCACCAACAGTAATCTTTTCATGTACATATTAGCCATTTGTATATCTTCTTTAGAAAAATGTCTATTCAGTCCCTCTGCCCCCTTTTAATTGCATTATTTGGGGTTTTGCTATTGGGGTGTATGAGTAATTTACATATTTTGGATATTTAATGCCTTATCAGCTATATGATGTGGAAGTATTTTCTCTCAATCCATCAGGTGTTTTTGTGTTTTGCCTTTGTGTTCTGTCCTTTGCTGCTCAGAAGCCTTTTAGATTAATGTAGTCCCACTTATTTATTTTTGCTTTTGTCGCCTTTGCTTTGGTATTAAATTTAAAAAATCAGTGCTAAGACCAGTGTCAAGAAGCTAACCCATTGTTTTCTTCTAGAAGTTTTGTAATTTCAGATCTTACATTCAAATCCTTAGTTTGAGTTGATTTTTGTATAGAGTGTAAACATGGGGGTCCAGTTTCACTCTTTTGCATGTGGCTGTCCATTTATTGAAGAGACTATTCTTTCCTCACTGTGTGTTCCTGTGTTTACACCTTTGTTGTAAATTATTTGACCATATATATACATGAGTTTATTTCTGGCCTGTCTGTTCTGTTCCATTGATCTATGCATATGTGTTTATGCTAATACCATACTATTTTGATTACTAAAACTTTGTAATATTATTTAAAATCAGGACATGTGATGCTTCCAGCTTTGTTCTTCTTTCTCAAGATTGCTTTGGCTATTCAGGTTCTTTCTCATTCCTTTTCTTATAACACAAAAAGAGATCTTACTAACAATTTCATCTCATAAAATATAATAAGCAGTTATGAATCAAATTTGATTTTTTTGTCTTAAATCTATTCTCAAGGGAAGGTGCCAATAAATAGGGAAAGAGGATAAAAGGATAGGAAAAAGTTGACACCAGTGGACATATATCATGATTGCAATCTACAACTTTGTATCTAATTAATACCAACCTCAAAAGGATGAAACAGATTTGATTCCAAACTAAAATAATCAAATAATAACAATAATAACAAAAACCCAAAACAACAGGTTGGCTTTTATGTCAGAGTCTACCATTGTAGTGTTTAAGATGTTAGACTACTTTTTCTGCTTAATATTTATTTAAAGGTCACAAGGCAATATAAAGGAATTTCTTAAGGCCTTTTTAATAAGTCATTCACTCTCCAGAAATTCTCCATCAATCTATTTTCTGCTCTACAAGAGTGTCATTCTTCTCATTTGATCAAACTCAGGATCAAAGCTAGTGCTGTGGCCTTGTGAAATGATTATAAAATTGTTAACTACAATAGTAAGGGGCAGAAATTCCTCACTAAAAAAGTGAAAAAAAATCTGGACACAGAACACAAAGAAGCAAGGACAGCTTATTAAAATAAAATTAATTGATGTTGATTTTAGTTACAACGACTATTAGCTAGACCATCCTTAAGAATTCTTGACTAAAACGAGGGCCAACTGAGGAAACAGTCATTTTCAAGTACAAAATACAAGGAAGATTTAGTGGACAGAGATGCAGACATTTTTAAGTCAAAAAATCCAGAAATTAGCATTGGTATTTGTTTTTCTAAGGAAATTATAAGTACTTATTCTCAAAACCATATTATGAATCATGTTACTAGGCATCCTGGGAGAAACAAAGCCATCTTGGGTAGAATGACCCAGACTCTGTATCTTGCAGGCAGTTTTACCGTACTATAGAGCCTTCTCACCTTAAAAGTTGTGGTGCCATAGAGCTTGGTGGTGTGGACGGTCTCTGGAAGCACATTAGTGATGTTGGTAATGAATTCTTCCAAGTACTTACAGGACTTCTCCAAGTGTGTCGTATTGATAATAATCTGGACAAGCTAGAAAATAACAAGCACATGTAAGAGTCATTTGACTATTCACCCCACAACGAATACTCAATAGGAATCTACCGATAGAAGAAAAACAAAAGTTATAATGGCAGCGGCCATCTATATTCTACAAAGGGCTTGTAAGAGCATGGTCTTAGGTTGTACTTCCTCTATGAAGCCTTCCTTGACTTCCCAAAGCATCTTGTATTTCCCCTACTATAAAAGCACTTGTCATTCTATTTTAAATGTATATCTTCTGTTTAAGAGATTAGACTAAGAACAAAAACTGCTAGTGTTTAGCACAGTGTCTGGCAATAAATGACTGCTAAATGAATTAAATAAATGAACTCCCACTGAAAGAACAAGAATAACTGAAATGGCAAGAAGTTTCAAAATGAATCATAATGAACACAGAGATGTTGGAATAGACTGCAGTATATTAACAAACTACATTAGTTTCTAGAAGAAATAACATGGACATTACAGTCAGAGAAACAAGTGGATTAACTTCTTTCAAATTAATAATCTGGAGAAAGTTTTTTAACTTCTCTAATGGCTGCTTTTTTATCTGTAAACTGCCAAAAATAATTTCTAACTCACATAGTTACTTTGAGGATTAAGTATCCTTTTGTTAATACTATTTTCCTTTTCTAACAGGAGAGATCCTTAAAAACGACAGTATTGGTAAGATAAAAAGTCATTTATAAATAACTTTGAGAGGAGGATGAGAAAGAATGGCTCTTACTGTCTGTATAGAATTAAAGTTTGTAAAGTTACTTCACAATTCATTTTCTTACACTGTATTCCCAGCGACCTGGAAAAGTAAGTTAAGTGGGCATAATTATTGCTTCTATTTTACTAAACAGAAACAGAATGAAATGATTTTCTCCAGCTCACATAACCTAAATGGAATTAGGACTCAAATCCAAGTCCTCTACCTTCAAATTATGGACTCATCAAAATGACTTCTGATGTTGCCTTTTAGCATAAGCATAAGATGGCGGGGGGAGGTGCACATTTACCATACATTAGGCCAAAATAATAGTTTCTGGGTCTGTCACCAACTAGACCTCGAAATGCTTTGATTCCTCTCTTGTAAAAAATAAGTTTAAACTGAAAAAAGGAGAGGTACCTATTACTTATTCTAACTATGAAAAGTATTGACGTTTCGCAGTGTAAAAGAAATTTGAAAAGAAAATGGAATAGAATCTTTTTTTGTCTCTCTTTTCTACATGTTTAACTTTTTGTTTGCACAAGACTGTGTGTGGCGGCAGGGCTGTGGAAGGTAGGGGAAGTTTGGGTGTATAAGGTTACGGATGAACTTAGGTGTACCTTTTAGTCCAGTGAGAGAGTGAGCCGGGGCAGAGTGGGTAGATGACACAAAGGGAAATCAGAACTGAAGACGAAGGTGGGGGGGGGTAACATACATTTTACAATCAAATGGTACTTCAAAACAATGTTTAAAAGTTGAATTACACCTCAGTAGAAGCCATTGTATTATACTGTGGAATATGACACAAAAATATTAATAGGATTATAATCAGAAAGTACACTCTTATCTCCCCAACAGCAACCAGCACAGGGCTAAAGCACAGTTCATTCTCAAAGAGTCCATGTCAAATCATAATGACAATGCTTTCGTAATGGATTGGACTAAGGAAAAAGGTACTCAAGGATCTATTCCCCAAGGATCAGCTGGAAAATGTGAGGGAAATATCTACTTTTGAAACATGAAGACAAAGGGCAGAGACCCAGAGATGCAATTCCAAACAAATGAAATGCTAGGGCAACATTGGGACTTGATCTCTGTATTATTCCCCACAGCCTATCAGACAAGTTCATATTCATCACCCTTCCCTTCATTCTACAGTTTGAATTTGGAGACTCTGAGCCTTGGACACAGATATGATCTCCTACAAAATTACCAAAAACATTAGACTTTTAAGCGTAGAGTGCTCTAGGAAAGAAAACCTACCGAAATAAGCAGTTCATCACCCTCTTCCTTTCAACACATTTCTCCCTCAAAGAAAGGCTAAAATCGTTTAAAAATTTTTAATTGTCTAAATTAAATCACTCTTCTTCCTGAGTGGGAGGGTGGCTACCGGCAAGGTTGTCTTGATGTATAAGTTAGAAAGTCAGAGAGCTAATTTGGAGAACTGAAGAATTTCTATTTTAAAGTCGCATTACCTAGAGGGAACATATTCCATCTATCAAAAGAAATCCTAATAATAAGGAGGAATCATGTCATGTTATCGAAATAAAAAATAGTGGCAGTCAAAGAGAAAATTGTCCTGTTTTGCAGGATATTGGCAGTTAAAAAAAAAAAAAAAGGAGGCGGCTTCACTGGGTACAGTAGTAATTTCCCTTGACTTTTTAAAGATCTGTCAACACAAAAGATCACCATGAATTACATCAACTGGCTGTCAGTCACTTTTGAAATGTTTCATTGCCTAGCACAGAATAGACTATTAAAACACTCTACGATTACATTAGATACCATGTCATTTTCAAAAGGAATATTGTCTGTTCATGAGGCCTAAATGATCTCTACTTCTGAATGACAGCTAACCAAAATCTTTACAAGGGCATTTACAAATGTGAAGCCAGATACTTTAGCGGTAATTCTGAACTTAAGGATGAAATGAAGCAATTTCAGATATCAACTTCCATCAGAGTTTGAGCTCCTTTGATATTTTTAACCCCCACTTCCCACTCTCTTCCATAAATATATCACTGTAGCAATCCAAACTGTCCTTAATATTGTTTCAAGGACATGGTATTAGCAATAGATTAAGTATTGGTTATAGCTTATATAAAGCAGAGTTCTCTGAGGATTGCCTGGAAAAAAAAGAGAGAAAACACTATAAAGCAAACAACCACCTCTCACACATGAACGACATGAGTCACTTAGGTTAAAAACCATTAAGAAGCAGAAAATATTTCTGTCTCTCATTCCCGTAGCAGAGACAATGATGAGGAAAGCACAGAGCAGAGTGTGGAAGTCACCTGTTACCTTCTCACATCCTCTGTTTCCCAAAGCAGAGAATTCAGGACACTGAAGCTCCACAAGGACTGACCCAAAGCAAGAAAATGCTGACCCAAAGCAACAGTGCTTCTCAACTGTTGGATTGGCAAGAAGATGAAGAACTAAATAGCGGCCTTGGTTCTCATTCGCAAAAATAAACTCGACCTAAGATTTCAAGGATTTTTTTCTCCGTTTCACCCAGCAAAGATAAAAAAAAGCTGGTTCGACTACCAATTTTTTACCATCTCCAAAGCAAATACCTAAAATACTGAAGTACTTGGAGCTAGTGGTTCCAAATTCAAAATCTAGTACAAAGCTTATATTTGACAAGACTTACTTACAAAATAAGTGATATTAGCGATATCAGTGCTGTTAACAACAGGGGATGGCAAACAGTGATATGTGGGAGATATACAACAGGATAGAGCTACAGGGTCATCAATTTAAATGATATTAAAGAAAGGTGGAGGGGCGCCTGGGGTGGCTCAGTCGGTTAAGCGTCGGACTTTGGCTCAGGTCATAATCTCGCGGTTTGGGACTTCGAGCCACATGTCGGGCTCTCTGCTGACAGCTCAGAGCTTGGATCCTGCTTCCAGTTCTGTGTCTCCACCTCTCTGCCCCTCCCATGCTCATGCTCTGTCTCTCTCTGTCTCTCAATAATAAATAAATGTTAAAAAAGTAAATAAATAAATAAATAAAAGGTGGAATGCAAAGCATTGGTCATTTATTTGGGTCTCCTGGGGCACTGTTATAAATATAATTTAAATATATATATAAATATTCAATGTGGTATCACCAATAGGAAATCTTAATTTCTTTAACTTAACCATAGGAACCCACCTACCTATCTTTCTTTTTTCTTTCTTCTCTTCATCAATTAAGAACTCCTCTGTGCCAAGGAATGAGAATACAGCTGTACATAATTACACACACGACAGACAAGGCCCCTGGCCTTGTGGAGATTAGAGTAACCACAAACTCATATAAACATACAGCATAATATCAAGTAGTAATAAGCACGCTGATGGTAGGGCTCAGATAGGTGGTCGAGGAAGGAAGGGCTCCTTAAGGAAATGACATTTGAGTGGAGACTTAAATAAAGTGAAGTTATATTATTTCTATTATCTACAATAAATACAATTTAATCCAATTTATACATTAAACCTTTCTATCAACTCATTCTTCATAAAGAAGTAAGATGTGTTTTGATTCATCTTAAAATTTTCTTTCAAACGTAACTAATTCTCTGATATTCTGAGATTAATATTAACTGGTGGTTTATTTCCTTCCTCTGCATGGTACTGATGCTTCTAAATTAATGTAGTGCAAGAGTAAAGGTTCAGAACAAAGGAAATCTTATTTTAAACATTATTTCAAATCTTATTTTTAAAAGAAAATTTTGTATTTCAAAACTTGTCTTAAATCTTATTTCCAAACTACTTACTGGTTGTGTGGCCTTAGGCAAAGTTAAGATCTCTCATCATCTTAAAATTGAGATAATAGCATCAATGTCATACCAAAGAAATAATCAATAGATTACAAATTATCACATATAAATATTATATAAATGATAAAGTACTGAATGTAATATATACCAAATTCGTGAAAGCTATTATTGATATGGACTTACTTAACATATCTCCCGTTAAATATGGCTTAAGAAAATCTACAACCATTCTGACTAGTCTCACTTTAATTCCTATCCATTAGCCAGAGTGGGCACTTAATGCTACAAAATAACCACATTATCCAGCACCAACCAATCTCTTTTCCATACCCCAAGATGTACTTTCTCTCTGCTTCAACCCCAACATTTGCTCTGGATCTCTACTTTCAGCTGAAGATCTATCTTTCACTGAGAAAACAGAGCATTTGGAGTATTCCACCACAAAATATGCCCAGCCACCACCATCTGCGTCCACATACACTGAGTCTCATCTGTTACCAGAGATGAACTTTACACCATCTAAAGCCAATCCCTCTG